AGGGTCAACGCCGCCTTGCCTTGTGTATGGGAAGCTCGGTTGCGCTCGCCTTAGGTGGTGGTGGTGGTGGGGTGAATGCTCCATAGGCCGACTCCATCGTGGGCCTTCTGCTGCGCTACTGTTGCTCTTGATGCAAGGAACGACAGAAATAGGCTTGAAATTCACCACTTCAAATATATACTTAGTTTCACGGTTTCCCAAGAAGGAGGATATCGTTGTGTGTAGGAGACGTACAAACAGATTGATGCAGTTACCTAATTAAGACTTCTGGCAGTCTTTGACAGCATAAAAAAAACTGTCAAGTGTGGTTCACGTAGCCTGGTGAATGGTTATTTCAGTTCTTTGAAATGGAAAACTACACAGAGGATTCGCACAAAGTCGGGACGGCAGTGTTCTGTCCAGGCTTTGTTAGAGGTAAATGGAAAATTTATATTCTTGGGTTTGCACCTCAGTTGTCAGGGTGACTCAAAGTAGGAATAAGTATGTAGTGCTAGCTCTGCTAAATCTGAAACAAGGACAGGAGCTTCGAAAAATACCAAACAATCAAAAATAGACAGTGTATCAAAGTGAAACTTGTTCACGAAACTGGTATCTCCAGTCTGCAAGTTTTTTGTTGCAGATCACTCAAAGCCCATGCTTAAACCTTAAAGAGGTGGAATTTGGAGCCTCTGCCATGTCACTTAGCTTCTCGGGGTGTCTTCGAATCCCATGTGAGTCCACAGATGATGGGTTAAAATATGCAGTGAGTCATATTAAATTGAAGCCAATTGAAATGCACAGGTTGTAAATCACTGCAGAATTTGGCTCAGTAAATAGCAATCATAAATGTAATACTTTGCAATTCTAAATGCTGCATCTATCTTAGATTAGCTCCTGCCTTTCTTCTGAAGGATGGAAAGCAATTCACAAAATGCTGATTTACTAATCTTCACAAGAAGCCTGAAAAGTGGTACTGCATTGCTATCCTTATTTTTAACTGGGTAAACTAAGTCACAGAGGGTATGGATGAGTTGCTTGTGATTGTGCGTTAAGGCTATAGTAGAGCCAGGAACGTAATCCAAGTCTCCTGACTCCTGGATTTGAACTTTAAAAACCAGATCATGTTTCCTTTGTGCTTTTAGTCTGTATCCTGACCTTTAGGAATCATATTTACCTACAAGTTCCCAGAAGAGATCTACTCTCCCTTGACATGCTTTCCTGGTATCAATTGCACTCTTTGCTCCTGATGAGTATTTTGAGCATGTGGAATACACAGGGAGCAAATGAAAACAGTATTTCCTGTGGAGGTGTTGGGGGCCAGTTGTAATCCCTGCAAACTGCATTAATAGGTAATTAGAAGTGATGGAGCCATGTGGGTCCAGGGCAGTACTTCCCTGAAGCTGGGGAAATAGAGTGTTTCTGTAAACACTGATAAACATCCTTTCCTCACGGTTCTCAGTACAGGGGAGAGAATGGATTGTGCTCGCAGTGCTGACGAGGGAGAGAGGTCTGAGCTGGGTACAGTGGGAGGATGCTGCTCTGAGATTCTCCTTTACGTCAGACTGTTTCAGTTCCCGCACCTTCCAAGAAGCAAGGGACCTTTTCCCTCTTGTTGTGTCTACTTAACTTTACAGAGGCAACAAATAAAGGAAAGGAAGGACGTTTGAACACCTTAGAAAATGCCAGGATAATAGCAAGAAAGAAGAGATTCTTTCGCTCTGTCCTGGTGGAAACTCAGGAAGTCAGATCGTTCTGACTCTGGGAGAGGGAAAGGAGACCCTGAAGACCAGAAGTCATTAGAACGGGGCTAGCTGCGCTCTGGCTTGCTACTGGAGCCTGTTCAAAAGCTCTAGTGATTAAAGGCAGGAGTGGAATCACACATCAGAGGCCAACTCCATGGGACTTTCTGATTCAGCGAAAGCATGGGGGATCCTGTGGCACAACCTTTCCTATGCTGTCTTACTCGGGTTGATGTGGTATCTGGATCGGGACTTAAAGAACGGAGGGCCAGTGTTCATATATATTCATTGTATAATTCTGGGGGCATTTTCCAAATTCCCAAATTAGCTGGTACGGGGAGTGACAGTAGGGTTTCCAAAATTCCTAATGACATGAGAGCTACTTTGACAGTTCAGCCCTATAGTTTAAGACAGGGCTTATCAGGATTGGGCTTATGTTTTAAATTGCTTAGGAAAGGCTCATGGGAACTGCTTATTGAAAAAGCCTCATCCAGAGGCAACTAAAGGAAGAAAGAGAATAGAGCCTGCCAATAAACTATCCAGAGCTCTTCAGATCTGCAGGCACGGCTTCATTACTCCCTCCTGACTTCCTTCTCCCTTTATAGCTACTGCTGCGTGGATGACTGCCTTGCAAAACTGTGAGGGGAGCTCAACCGTAGAGGCCAGCAAATCAGAGTGGAAAGAAACCTGAGCAAATTGAAATCGTTCTCCATGGGCAAAGAGAGATCACCTTATATGGGAACATCTATGGGCAAGAAGATGAATGCGTCTGGCCTAGCTGCTGAGGTCAGATCCCAAACAGATGGAAGATGTTAATGTGAAAACTAGAACATTTAGGAAGAGAAGATAACACTTATATCTGCTTCTCTTATGCAATCTGAGTCTTGTTGTTTTTCTGTCTTATTATGAATAATGGGTTATGTGTATATGTATCTAGGTCTGACTGGTTTACATTAAAAATCAATTTCTTTGTGGCTATTTGGGCACCTAAATGCATCCCAGGTCTGTCTCTGGTTCTTCCCAATCACAGCTCTTTCAGCTGTTGTTATGTATTAGCAGTTTCCTCTTATTTGCCAAAGTGTCAGTAGTATCAACCATAGTAGTAGGGACTGCAGTCAGCAACAGCATAAGGAATGACCACTGATGTCTTGAAAACTTAAGCCTGTTTGTATCAGAAGGTGACTTGTTCCTGTGTGCTAGAGCATTGAAGGCAATACTGACAGATAAAAAGCATTTCTTGTTCTGCATTTTTTGTCATGATTGTAGTCATAGGTAGCATTCTAGGTGACCTAAGGCAGGGTAGGACCGGACAAAAAAATATTAGCTCTGTATTGTGGGCTTTGTTTATTTTGTGCCTTTGTGTGGGTCTTCTGTTGCAAGAGAAAGGATCCTGATCCTTTTAATCTGAGTCTAGTGAATTCTGATCTAAGCTGCTTATCTTACATACCCTGAGCCTGAGATTTACAGCTCCCACCCTGACAGCCCACCTAAATCTCCTCTGTTTGCATTGTTGTATGGTGGCCTCACACTAGCTCCCTTGGCCAGATGCGAATAGTTGGCTTGCAGCACACTGTCCAGCTCTGTCTAGTGCGTGAAGCTATTGAGTAGGAAAGAGGCTGCAGCCAAAGTATGTACCACGTACTGGCTCTGCTCAGAGGAATACTGACTGCATCACCCAGCTGTCCTCCCTTGTATTCCTACGAACTGATGCAAAAGACACAAGACCGTTCTGAGATCCAACAGGATGATGTCCCATGCAGTGTGAGGTAAAGATCTCCTCTGGGGCCATAGATGTCCTGAAAGCTTGCTTTACGATTGCCCTGCTCCTTGCATGGCCGTTGGCACCTATGCAAATTGGGTGTCACATGCGTCTGTTCATTCTGGGAGTGTATTGCACCTTCTTTGCACTGGTGCAAAGTGTTGGGCATTGGGGAGTCAGGCCCAGAAGCCCAGAGTGACATTGGCTTCTGTCTTTTCAGACTCATCTCTGCAGTTGCCCCAGCGTTGCTTCAGACTGACAGAGCATCCTCACAGAGGAGTCCCCTTCGCGGAGTGCAATGTTCAGAGCAAGAGGAGGTGGTTGCAGTGCTGTCCACGAGGCCCAAGGAGACTCTCCCTGGTGAGGTATTGGCCTATGCATCGATGTAGCACTGCCCTCTCCTGGAAACCTGAGCGGTAGCAGTCGCAGCACAGTGCTCAGCTTTTGGTGAGGCCAGAACAGTTGAAAGGCTATTTTTTAAAATGCCCAGTTCATTTTTGTGTTGAGGAAAAGAGCTGCAGTGGAGCCTGAACAACGTGGGCAGGAGTCTCATGACCTTCTTTGGCTGCTCCTCTCCCAGGAGCTGCAGGTCTGAGCAGTCTGTTCTGCCTTTATGTTCCTCTAGCTCTTTGCTTCTCCTTTGAAATGTGGACAAGGGAGCCAGCAAGGTGGCCTCTGTGGTGGCTGAGGCCACCCAGTAATTTTTGTAATCCTTAGGTAGTGACATACCCACAGCGTGCCTTGGAAGTGGGTTGTAAATGATCACCTCATTTTAGAGATAATGAGTAAGAGGCACTGGGAGGGGAAGTGATATGATGAAGACTACACAATAACCCCCGTGGCAGAAAATTTGTAGTTTGTTTCTTTTTCCCTTTTCTCTGTATCTTCAGGCCTTCAGTCGGTGGGACTGTAAAGGAGCAGAAAGATTGAGCGCTGGTGGTAGTGTTTGGGGTGGTACTACTGAGAGGAGATGGCACTGTCGACAGAAAGCAACAAGAGCAATGCTCAGAGATCAGCTCTGGGGCTCCTGGGTGAAATGTGGTGCTCTTTCTGTGAACAAACCAAAGGAAGTAACTCTTCATGCAATGTGTAGTTAGCTGTGGAGCTCCTTGCTACAGGATTTTGCAGATGCTGGAAGTTTACCTGGGAAGACTGGATAAATTCATGGAAGAGTAATCTATTGAAGGTATTGAATGTGTAAAAAACCTCTCTGGCTCAGGATGTCCTTGGGCTACTGGGAGATTGAGTCTGGGAGATTATTTGAGGGAAGTATTATATGCTTCCTTTGTCCTCGTATTCTTCCCTAGGCATCCATTTATGGCCATTCTTGGAGACAATAAGTGGCCTGAGCTAATGGTCCTGTGGTCTGACTGTAGCTGTTTTGATGTGTACATGAACACTAATCCTGCTCCTGCTG